CAATCAGGAGTCTCTCATAATACATTGCAAATTTGTACAGCAACATGTTCAATAGAAGATAATTTGCCACAAACTGATCATACCATGTGACTAAGAACTGAGAACAATAACATGGCCTCCATTTGATGGTATCAGGTGATTAAACCATGTGACCAAGACCTGACACCAATCACGTGACCTCTATTTTATGGCATCAGGTGATTATACCATGTGACCAAGACCTGAGATCAATTACGTGGCCTCCATTTGAAGACATCAGGTGATTGTACCATGTGATTACCATAAAAGATCAATCTTGTATCCTCCATTTATTGCAATTAAATGATCATAATATATATGTACCATGACCGGATGTCAATGACCTGTGTTTCTTTTGTATCTTAAGCAGTCACAGCTAGAATAAGTCATAGGTGTCTCATTACCAATGCACTCCACTGATATCCTCAAGTCATGATCAGATTCAGCATTGTCATAGAGTAATTTCACTGCCAAGCTAGCATCATGATAAACATCAAAGTTTACTCTGTGTCTTCTTCATTAGTGCCAATGACACTTTTGATGATGGCTCTTTACCAAGGTATTTCGATATAAAATGTCCAGCTGCAATTAATTTTTCCAAGTTCACACCCTGCAACATAGCAATGAGGTTATTATAACTTGATACACACCTTTACAACACAGCAACAAGGTTATTATAACTTGTTATACACCTTTACAACACAGCAACGAGGGTATTATAATTTGATATACACCCTTACAATACAGCAACGAGGGTATTATAACTTGATATACACCCTTACAACACAGCAACAAGGTTATTATAACTTGATATACACCCTTACAACACAACAACGAGGTTACTATAACTTGATATACACCTTTACAACACAGCAACAAGATTATTATAACTTGATATACACCCTTTAACACAGCAACAAGGTTATTATAACTTGATATACACCCTTACAACACAGCAACGAGGGTATTATGACTTGATATACACCCTTACAACACAGCAATGAGGTTATTATAACTTGATATACACCCTTACAACACAGCAACGAGGTTATTATAACTTGATATACACCCTTACAACACAGCAATGAGGTTATTATAACTTGATATACACCCTTACAACACAGCAACGAGGTTATCATAACTTGATCTACACCCTTACAACACAGCAACGAGGTTATTATAACTTGATATACACCCTTACAACATAGCAACGAGGTTATTATAATTTGATATGCACCCTTACAACACAGCAACAAGGTTATTATAACTTGATATACACCCTTACAACACAACAATGAGGTTACTATAACTTGATATACACCAACACAGCAACAAGGTTATTATAACTTGATATACACCCTTACAACACAGCAACGAGGGTATTATAACTTGATATACACTCTTACAACACAGCAATGGGGTTACTATAACTTGATATACACCCTTACAACACAGCAACGAGGGTATTATAAATTGATATACACACCCTTACAACACAGCAACAAGGGTATTATAACTTGATATACACCCTTACAACACAGCAACAAGGTTATTATAACTTGATATATACCCTTACAACACAGCAACGAGGTTATTATAACTTGATATACACCCTTACAACACAGCAATGAGGTTATTATAACTTGATATACACCCTTACAACACAGCAACGAGGCTATTATAAATTGATATACACACTTACAACACAGCAACAAGGGTATTATAACTTGATATGCACCCTTACAACACAGCAACAAGGTTATTATAACTTGATATACACCCTTACAACACAGCAACAAGGTTATTATAACTTGATATACACCCTTACAACACAGCAACAAGGTTATTATAACTTAATATACACCCTTACAACATAGCTATGAGGCTATCATGATACACTCAGGAATGTACCGTTTCTCATTTTGGAAAGTTTGTGAACTCTACGGGATTAGATTTAGTTTAAATAGCTAGGTTTCTAGTTTAGCCAAGATTATGTTTATAATTAAGTTGTACTCACTGTCTGCACTCATAGGTCAAAGGTTACACTTACAGTATGTTCATAGGTTAAAAGTTATACTCCCTGTCCATAGGTCAATGTTATACTTACTGTCTGTTCATAGGTCAAAGGTGATACTCCCTGTCCATAGGTCAGTGTTATACTTAGTCTGTTCATAGGTCAAAAGTTATACTCCCTGTCCATAGGTCAATGTTATACTTAGTCTGTTCATAGGTCAAAGGTTATACTCATTGTCTGTCTATGGGTCAAAGGTTATAGTAACTGTATGTTCATAGGTCAAAGGTTACTCTCACTGTCTGTCCATAGGTCAAAGGTTATAATGTTTGTTTATGGGTCAAAGGTTATACTCACTGTCTGTATTCCTATACCATGCAACATATAGACAACATCTTCTGTAGCAACGTTCCCTGTAGCACCTCTAGCATACGGGCACCCACCCAGTCCTGCCACAGATGAATCAACAATCCTCACACCCATCTGAAACAATTAAGTTATTATGTTTTAAATAATATTCATTCAAGAAAAATTAAAATATATGATGAAACAAATAGGGAAAAAAGATGCCAAGCAAATCCCACTAAAATTAACCTAGGCATGTCTTTGTGATAACATGTTGTGTTCTTGTGTAGTCAGTCAAAGTCTCAACCAATTTGAATCACAAAACAAAATAGGCAAAAATTAACCTACCATAAATCACATCATATTCATTAACTGAAATCACCCGAGGTATGCCATATTCATATCATGTTTGAA